CGACATAACCCTACTCCTCCACTATATTATTCGGTATGCCGCAATACAATCTGGTGCCCCCACCTTACAACAAGGTGCCACCCCAGGGCCACCCGATCCCTCCCCAGCATAATTTAGTTCCCCTTAAGCAAGACCCAGCTCCACCTGTTATGGACCCAAACTACATTGAGAGGTATAAGAGACTTAACTCATCTACTTTTGTAGAGACTTCCACTTTTTGAAGAAGCTGAATATTGGCTAGCAGAAACAGAGAAGGCCTTCGCAATTTTTGGAATAGTTCCCGAACATAAGGTTGTCCTTACCACTTATATGCTCGTAGATGAGGCAAGACGTTAGTGGCAATTGAAGCAAGCTACCTTACCCACCCCAGTCACCTGAGAACAGTTTTTGGTTTTTAATATTGAGTACCTTCGAGAATACCTTCGACATCTGAAGGATATGAAGTTTGCACACTTGGTTCAGGGAGATTTGTCAGTATCAGAGTATGCTCGAAAATTTTTGAAATTAGGTCGAGACTCTCCTGAGCGCATGACAGACGAAGGCAGAAAGGAAAGAAGGTTTGAGTGGAGTTTTCATCCTGAAACCAAACAGCAGTTGTATATGTTCGAGCTTAGCACTTACTCAACAGTTTTGGCCAATACACAGTTAATAGAAAGGAACCTCCATATTTTTTCCCAGCATGGGCAACTTTAAGCCCTCGGTTCCACATCATATGCTAACAACTACTGCATTGAACCAGCAGAATAAGAGACCAAAGCCCACAACTCAAGCTCCTTCCCAAGCTTCGATAATAAGACGCAATAAAATTTATCGGCACTGTGGTAAAAATCATGGAGACCGACCTTATTATCGCCTCAATAACACCTGTCGTGTGTATGGGAATGCACTCAACACTACGCAAGAAAATGTCCATAGAATCAGAATCAGGCCAGACTCGCAGTCAAAAGCAAAGTCTATACACTTACCCAACAGAATATTGAAGCCAACCCGAACATAATATAGGGTACATACACTATCTACAACCACCTTACACATATTTTAATTGATATTGGTGTTTCACATTCTTTTGTTTCACATGCTTTTACTCAAAATTTAAATGTGTTACTTGAAAGTTTTAATTTTATATTGTTTGTGTTTATACCTGGGAATAAGACATTACTGGAAAATGTTATGTACAAAGCTTGTATAATAGAAATAGCAGATAGAAAATTGAGCATAAATTTTATGACACTTGACACAAGGAATTTGATGTAATTCTGGGAATAAACTGGCTAGCGACGTATCATGCCACTGTGGACTATTTGCATAAGAAGTTTGTATTTAATATTCCTAACAAAGAGTTTTTCAAATATTAATAAAAGTTATAGATATTATTCACATGTGGTAACTACATTATTTATCAAATGCTCTTAACTCAGCTATTCTTTTCTACGTTAGGCAAGCCTAAGAGAGAGATTTGTATTTAAGATATTCCTATTATCTGAGATTTTCTAGACATATTCCCTGATGAACTACCAGGAATGCTAGTAGATCGAGAAGTGGAATTTATCATAGATCTTCAGCCTGGTACTTACCTCATCTCGGTT